GCCTAGTACTGACTAAACTTGCTAAGGAGAAAAAACTTTTCAACGGAGATTATGAAGCAATCTCAAAGCTAAACTGCTTTTCTACTAAATTTGTCTCCGATATTGAAGAGTTTGTTTATATTCACGAAATTTTTACTTTTAATTTTGAAAAAAAATTGCATAACAGTTATTTAATAGTCATATAGTCTTTTCTATTATAATTTAAAAAGCTATGCATTCGGTTGAAGCTTTTCTTCATTTATTAATTAGTCTTACAAGTAAGCCAATTTATTAACCAGTAAATTAAGCTATTTTGTTTGTGATTTTCTCAATCATAATGCCTTGGGGGGCAATTTTATTGTACTTTTACAATTATATTTGGCTTATCCATTTTAATTCGTATTTTTTTCCTTGCATAAACAATTGTCTCAAAAACTTATTCAAAAAAAAAGTATTTTAATTAAAGATAAGGTTCATTAAAAATTTATTTTTAAGTATATGTTTAATGATATTAAAAATTTGTTATTACAGTTTGAAATTCGGTTTTTCACAAGCATTACTTATGATTATTAGTACATAAGACTGATTAATTTGAATATTATTGACATTAATATGCTACTATAAATTGTTTGGAAATACTATATAAGAGATAAGACTAATTGATATGTAATAATTAGACAAAAAGGTTACAAGGATTATCGAAGAACTTTTCAAATTTTGCAAGAAATTGGTGTTAATAAAATTAGCGATAACGACTGCATTCACGTTGCATATATTTGTGAAGTGATTAGCACTCGGTACTTTCTATTATTGTAATTTGTAACTAAATTGTTTGCCATTTTTCTGCTCAATCTAATAAAATAATAAAATTATTAGTTAATAGTTTGTTACATTCATCATTTTAATTACTGTATTTATTTTACTAGATCAGAAATACATAAATTATCACTTAAATCATATATCTTTGATTATTAAAATTTTCAAAAAACATTGATCATTTTGTACATATATAAAATAGACGTAGCAATTCATATGCTTTTTCTTGTAAGACTTATGAATGATTTGAGAATAAGCTAAGACAGAACAGTTTGATCAATCAGCTAAGCCCAATCAATGTTTTGTTCAAATTTAGCAAAAATATGACTTTAGTACGCATTTAAAAAATGATTTAAAGTTGATCGCAATTAATTTTTTAAAAGTTTAATTACTGCCAATAATTTAAGTATTTGATTTCACGCAAAAGTTAATGAAATAATGTTTAGAGCGGCGTATCTGACAGCAGCTGGTATTTCATGCATTCTCAGTCGCATGAAAAAAAAGTTTGTAACAGTAGGCATCGATGGGTCTGTTTATCGTTTCCATCCAAAATTTGGCAAAGTTCTCGATCGCAAAATTAACGATTTACTGCCCAGAAATCTGGATGTATGCTTAATCTTTTCCGCTTGAAAAATTTGGATTTAAACATTCATTTACTGATTAATTTTGTCCAGTCAAAATATTTTTTTTTTGAAACTAAAGAAATATACATAATTTAAAGTAAAGAATAGCACTGACATTATGTTTAAATATAATATTTCTATATTACTTATTACTTAAATTGAATGAATATTTGATGTTTTTGTATATATAATACTATAGATCTTTTATTATTTTTAAGATAAATGCAAATTAATTAAAAATTTCAATGGTGTCTAATTATTTTTATTATTAGTATTAGCAAATTATGATTTTTTGGATATTATTAAATGTTATTTAATGCTGTGCAATTACATTTTGTAATTATATAATTTAAAAACAAAGTACTAGTCATAATTAGGTTTGAAATGCGCATAAGTGAATAACAGAAAACAATTTTTAAAGTACCAGCTGATGCTGTCGGAAGATGGAAGTGGCAAGGGGGCAGCTCTTGTCGCAGCTGTAGCAAGTCGAATCAAGGCTGAACACCAATAATAACAATTCATTCATACTCATATCCCGTAACCAACTGATTCATACTTCATAAAAATACAAAAATTTCGCGTGATATAGATGGTTATAAAATTACCTTATGTCTGTAAAGTATTTTTGTGTGTTTGGAACCAAAATGAAATAATTGCATTAGTATCTCTGTTTTAAAAATAGATTTGCATAAAATTCAATCATTTTAAAATGTAAAATTTAGTTTAAGTCACAGGTTTCGTAAAATGAAATTTAGAAGTTTTTAAAATCAAAAAAGATCAAAAACTCCCCTTTGTTAGATTTGTGAATAATATAGTCTAGTTTTTATAATTCATTTTATTAATTTATAAAACTAGATTCAATAAATATATTAAGATTTTCTGATGTGAATAGTAATTACACGTGAGAAACCTTACAGAAAATTGAATTTCAAAAAAAAATTGAAACAAAAGTGTCATATTTGATTTAGTTTCGAATACCAATACTTATTAAACTTTACGTTGATTAACTATTGCATTAACTAGTAGTTAAAATAATTTATACTAATAAATAGAACGTGTTGACATTCGTAATTATTTATTTCAGCTTCACTTCATTCATACTATTATATTTCATTTACAGTAATTGTTGTGCTTGAAGACCATTCTCATTGTATAATAATAAATCAATACTGAGAATTTCCAAATCAATTTTAACTATTTATCCAAAAATGGAAATCTGTCACTGGATCTGATGTGATCTATTTATGTGTTAATTGCAAATCAGTACTGACCAAAATTTATAGTGTCATCATCTTTAATAACAGGTTTTGAGTTCTGAAAAGACTTCTTCACTGACTATATATTTTTGGTTTCTATTCCTTTCTTCGTTCCATCTTTTTAAGTTTTGGAGATATCATGATGCTAATATGGAGGTAAATGGCGGAAATACCAGTGCAATCAGTTGCAACAACAAACAGTCAAATACGCCTGAATTGTAATAATACGAGAGAACAGACGTACAAATATATTAATTATCTGATGGCTGAAAACGATTTTTGAAGAACCTATCCCATCAAGGCGACTTGCAAGAACCGATAAGGAGTAACGGATCGAGTGACAATGCTTATGCATTTTTTGTTGCAGTACTTCTGAATGAGCAAAAATGAAACAAGGGAAAAAAATAGATGAATAATACTCACGGATGAATAGAGAGGGAAAAAGACTGCTGCAGAAAGAAGTTGAAACCAAATAGAAGAATGCTGTGTTGTCTTATATTCAGGACATCGGAAGTCTGAGAAGAAAATGGAGGATGAACCGAGAAAAACGCATCTGTAGTGATAGTAGAGAAGAGTAGGAAAATAGATGAGGTTTGAAAAGATCCGTGAAGAATGTGAGAGAGCCCTCTGCCAGTGTACTAGAACCAGGAACCATCAGGATGATTACTGGAAGTACTCATCCGTGGAATCGAGAGTTTCTCAGAGAGCAATTGGGCATCTCATCCTTGAATGTGATTGCCATGAAGCTACAAGCATGCTGACCGAACGTGTGAAATTTTATGAAAGTAAAATAAAAAGCTGTGAGTACCGATCTGCATTTGGAATCCAAAACGCCAGATTTGAGCTGTTTAGAAGGTAGTTTTGTAGGAAACTAAGCGAGGATCAGTTCAGCCACAATGTAAAGACAGAAGAAGCCAGTTAGTTCTGGATGACGATGTGGAACTCAGAAATCAATGAAGATGACAATCTGAACAATGAATATCTGCAGGAATTCGTTTTAAATTATGAAGTGCATGATACTTTTCCATCTGAAACCGAATTTGGGAGGTGGTTTCCTATTTGCTTAACTGGAAGGCGGCAGGACCTGATGGACCATAACAACAAAATGTGTGGCACGTGTCATGCAATTGGATGGTGCCACGAAAAGGCTACTTGTTGCTAGTGGAAGTGGTGGAAAAGGGTCATTTGCATAACCAGCATAAGGTCGAATCACATCGAAAAGTGATTAGGTAAAAAATTGTGCTCCTATAAAGAACTTTTCTCATTTCGATCGGAAAAGCAGCTTTTCTTCTTCAATCGAATTATAAACAGATTTCATATAGAACTATTCCGATAATTCATTTTTACCTTCATACTTTAAATATAAATAAAATTTGTTTAACCTAAGAATCAAGGAATTGATGACCTCAAGAACTGATGCTCCTTCTTTTCCTGTTACGTGAACTTGTTGGATTAAACCATTCCAGAAACTGACCCTGCATTACGGTAATAATTCTTCATCCGTGATCTATCACCTAAATTCCATCAAATTTTAAGTTTTCCTGATTAACAATGATACATCAGAATCTGCTATTATGCTTTGTATTCTACTGGCAATTTCAGTTTCATTGGCAGTCATTTCCACATGAAAGTCACTAAACAAAAACTAGCTACTGGCACTTTTATACTTCTTAAATTATGATAGCAGTTAGTTAATAGATTATTTTTCATTCATAAATTCGTTTATTTCAGGTAAGAATAACTTAGATTATATTAATGACTACAGTAATGACTAATTTCGTGGTATGGCTCACGGTTGGATTGTGTTAATTTTGGCATGCAGTACTGTCAAAACGTTCAGTGATAGGCGTTAGTGTTTCTAAGTGTATTCGTTTAGAAGGGTCACTGAAAATAAATATTTTTTTCACGGTCATTTAGGGAAACTAGTTAATTGAGTATATTTTGCTAGCAACAATAATAGTTTCTCTTTCATTCTAGTAGAAGGCTTATTAAACGATTTCTAGTTTACTTTCTACTTGAATGATAAGACTGTTTACAATTCAAAGGAATTTGAGTGCAATTTTTAGTTAAAAATTTATCACAGTTTGTGGAAATTTTTGAAAAATTATAGCCATGTATTTGATTACAAAATTCTTCAACTACTCCATTTGGGCACATTTTGAACGGTCTGTAAGCACTTACTATACTTTTCAAAAAATTTCAAGTAGTAATTAAAAATTATCATTAATAATTCTTTTGGAGATTGAAATAATTACTGTTCAATTGTGCAGATAAAATCATGTTTTCTTCTGAAAGAAAACTAGAAAAGACTGTGTTTGTAGTCATAATTTTAAAACGCATTTTTTTAAACGTAACTTCCAAAACACACCAACTTTTTGTCATTCAAAGAGTTTTCGTTATTTATTAATGAACTAACAGTTGCAAATTTATAATTTAAAGTGAGTAAAAATGGTGGAATTTTTTGAAAAATCCTTTCCTTTTGACCTAAATTGAATTTCTGAGAATGCCTAAAATACTAACATTTTTGTCATGTATGTGCATGGAAAATGACATTTGGGATAAAATAATTATAGAAAAGCAAAGAAGGGTCAAGGCGCAAACGAAACAGATACATCTTTAAAGCACGTGGAACATTAGTATTGCGTGAATTAATTAACGGAATTGACATGTAAGATGATAACATGATTCTTTCGATACAGAAATTGTAAAAATAATAATTAATCATTTAAACTCCTCAGGATCTTCAAACACCATATTTCTTCTTCAAAAATCTTCTCTTCCGAAATTTGCCAAAACTGATGACCTACACAGTAAGCTATACAGTAAGGTAAATTTAATGCCACATGGACATTATGAAATTGTAATCATTTTGCATGACATGATCGTGTAGAGTTTGTTTCTTCTCTGCCATTTCAATATAATGGAACACATTTCACTT